AATGCTTAAAGCAACGAAAATAAATGTTTTTAATTTAGGCGCACTATTATCATCATGATAACAGGCTATTATCGTGTCCCTTAAAATATTGCCAGATCGCTACATGAATTTATAATCTGGACTTTAAACACTACGTGTCTAACTAGCATGTGTACTCTCTACTCTCCTTGAAATAATTCCCATATGAATCCATCTAGAATGTTATATGTGATCACTGATAATACATATTTATATAAATTTTAGTATGAAATATCACTTTGACCTTTAGTTACAATGCTGCTACACATTACTAAGTATACATTCAAGTTTGGTCACTATAATGATTTATTCAAATTGATGGATCTAGTGTTTGGCACTTAGTCAGCAATTTAATTAAAATTGAAGGACTGCAAAGGAACCCTACCCGATTTTGCCATTTCTAGTAATCACGCCTCCTCACGATCACTTACACATCTCTGAAAAGTTGTCGTATGGTCGTCATAATGAAATCAATCTCATTTTATGTCCAACCGTTGGGACTTGACCAGGTCCACTTTCTGTGAGGTCGCTTCTGGATGAAAGTTTGTCATAAAAAGTCCCTCTTTCTCCATGAAGTCGACCAGTTGTTGGTTCCTTGGGTTCCGTTGCCCTATTCCAAATTTACCTACTTTTAGCTTACCGTTCTCTCTTGTGCCTAGTTTTGCGTTGGAGTATACTATTAATACTGTGTAGTGAGTTTTGGAGGAAAGCATGGCTCTAGAGATATCCTCATACTACTTCCTCCACCTCCTCATTGGGATATGCTGAGGTTGGTACGTAAACCTGTATGACCTTCAACTTATACTGTTTAGTAATTCTATGTATAAGGTACGCAACCCTCGTCGACACACTCCCAATTTTTACAACGTTGTTAACGAGATACTTGTGGACGATAAATCCAACAACTCCTTGGGACAGATAGTCACCCTCCCGGTGATAGAACAAGATTCGACGATTACCGTATCCTCCCCATCTCTTTGGATTTCGCGAAATCCTATAATATGCCAGCGTATTCTACAGCGTTCACAACGTTGTCTATCTCTTCTTCCATCTCCAGGATTTTCTCTTCAGGGTGCGTGCGTTGTATGTTGCCAGGTCGAATCACCTTAGGTGACTACCGCACTTTCACTGGAGATTCTTAACACCCTCTGCCCCGCCATTACCATGGCTGCCACCGTAGACGGGAACAGCGAGGCCACCGGGGACAGGGGGCCGTATCTTCGTAACTTTCATTTCATGGGGGGATATTTCCCATAGTTGCCATGCTAAGCGAGCGGGTTGGCAACCGCTTCTACCCATCTCCTGCCTGTTTTCCACTGTCGCCTCTTACGAAACCCACGGGAAGATATGGGGTGGTGCATATTCTTGACAGCCACTACACGAAAATAGCTTGAGCTACAGTATCCCCATATTATCAAGTGGATCAATGGATATCGATGTGCACGTTTTCATCCCTACTTTTATTAAAAATAAACTCTATTCGTAATTAATCGTATATACTTAATATAATATTACCCATGCTTGTGTACACATTTGAAAGTTATTTCTAAATGTTATATTATTCTAAGCTATTACGCATAGAAAGGTTCTCGAGTTGCAACCTCGTACCGGTAAGGGAAGATATGAATTATGTAAGAAGTGGCTCAAGACCGTGCTTTGTGGCGTTCCTTGGAGGAGGGCTATATTTAGCTGTGGACTTGTGAAGGGCTGTAATGATGACGATGGTGATGATGAAATATGCATATAAAGTTATAACTAGCAATCAAAATAGAAGCACACTGGTTATTAAAACCAATCCAAGAGCGAATATTCTAAAAATTGAAGTATCTAGCGTAAGTACGTGTAATAAAGTACTGCTAAGTGAGATTTATCTCCAGCCTTTCTATGCTTTGAAACGAAACCTAATTGAAAATTTGACAAGTCGATAAACTACTTGCTTTATTCATACGCGGCAATGTGGAAACTGACAAGTTTTCAATATCAATTTGTTTGACTTTATTGCTTTTCGATGTATACTTTATGTACTATATTTTTTATTTATATTCGCACCCCAACTTGCCATTATATTCAACGCTAGTACTGAATCTGGTGTTTCCTGATTTAATGAAACAGTAAAGTTATACCTTTATTTAAATCTGGCAGTACATTGGAGCCCACTAATTTTAGATCAGATCTTAAGTTTTTTTTGACATAAATAAATTACTGCAAAACAATCAGTTTGGATTTACAAGGGGTCGCTCGACAACTGATGCCGGAGTTGAGCTAATCAAACATATTTTCTGTGCATGGGAAAATTCAGAATATGCTTTGGGTATATTTTGTGATCTTTCCAAGTCTTTCGACTGTGTTCACCATGAGGAAGCTACATCATTATGATTTAAAAATATAGGATTTATAATATATATCATTAAATTGAGTTTGTGTACTTAGATACCATCATTAAATTGAGTTTGGGTACTAAGATACCATCATTAAATTGAGTTAGGATACTAAGATACCACCATTAAATTGGAGTTAGGGTACTAAGATACCACCATTAAATTGGAGTTTGGTTACTAAGATACCACCATTAAATTGGAGTTTGGGTACTAAGGTAGGTACCACCATTAAATTGGACTTTGGGTTCTAAGTTACTACCATTAAATTGGACTTTGGGTACTAAGTTACTACCATTAAATTGGACTTTGGGTATTAAAATACCAGCATTAAATTAAAAAAAAAACATAAGAAACTGTTTCAGTTTCCCCCTAAAATAATAACAATATTGATACCGTTATCAGTTTTAATGTGATAGCACATCTATGGATATAAGGTGTGAAAAATGGAAAAGGTCTCTACTAATCTATCGGGACGCAGCTGAAGTTATATCAGCACTCAAGAAACGAGCTACGCTATTGCATTTTGGTGGCTCTGGGATACAAGAAATATTCTACAATTTACCGGGTGTTAATGTCGAATCATCAGAAACCGTTGATGTATTTAAAGTAGCCATAAAAAAACTCTACGAGTATTTTCAACCTAAACGGAGCAAAGTAATGAGCGGCATGTTTTTCAATTGCTAAAACAGGAAAAAGGAGAAACATTTGAGAAGTTTTTGATAAGATTGCGTCAACAGGCCGAAAAGTGTGCATTCGAAAAGCAAGATGATCATTTCATAGATCAAATTGCGGAATAATGTAATTCGAAATTGCGCAAGAAACTTATATCTTACAAAACGTGGGAAGAGTTAAAAAGTAAAAAAGTATATACTTTTAATCAAATGTAAAGACCGGACAAGACATTATTAGCATATGGTAGTAACTCTCCTTTGGCAATAGAGGGTTCATTTGAAACTATACTCGAAGTCGATGGACGAAAGGAACATACAACCATTTACGTGATTTCGGGGGGTACTAGAGACCTGTTTGGTAAGAACACAGCAGTCCGTCTGGGTGTCTTAAAACTTGGTATCGGGATAAATCAAGTGGAGAGTACCGATCCCCAATAAAGATAAGGTTGCAATCAAAATTAAGGAATCACTAAACAGTGATATAATTGAAGAAGTGCAAGGCCCGTCTAAATGGGTTTCACCAATGTTCCAATCATGAAAGAAAATGGTCAATTACGTTTGTGCGTAGATATGAGATGTACGAACGCCGCTATATTGCGAGAAAACCACCCCCTGCCTACTATGGACCATTTTTGCCTAAAATGATGAAAGCTAAATATTTTAACAAATTCTACATAAAAAATGCCTTCCATCAAGTGGAAATTCACTCTGAATCCAGACACATAAAGACTTTTATAACCCCCAAAAGATTATATAGATATAAAAGAATAATGCTTGGAATTACCTGCGCTTCCGAGATTTTTCAGAAGATCATTGAAAGGATGCTGATAAACTGTGAAGGGGTCGTCAATTTTATTGATGATATTCTGGTGTTCGGGAACAGTGAAGAAGACGCATGACTAAAGAAAGTTCTACAGGTACTTAGTAAAAACAACGCCGTGCTGAATAGCAATAAATGCATATATAAAACGCAAGATGTGAATTTTCTGGGACACAGGCTTACACATGAAGGAGTAAACCCTTCAACAAGTACGTTGAGATCATTATGAAATTTAGGGTCCCAAAGACTATAGAAGAACTCCAAAGTTTTTTAGGACTCTTAAACTACATAAACAAATGGATACCTAACTTGGCCGCCATGACAGAACTTCTGAAGCACCTGCTAAGACAGAAGATGAGCAAAAGGGAGAGCTTGGAAAAACAATGGTCTGGGGAACAAGATAAAGCATTCCGAAAATTCAAACGGATGCTCACGGAAATACAGATTTTAGGGTATTATGACGTCAGAGATGCAGGACAGGTGATAGCAGATGCTAGCCCTGTCGGACTTGGTGCTGTCCTTGTACAAAATGATACAAATGGCCCTAGAATTATTGCCTATGGTAATCGAACTTTGATAGACTGCGAGCGCAGGTATAGCCAAATGGAAAAAGAGGCACTAGCACTAGTTTGGGGGGTCGAACTTTTAATATTTATTTTTTATTTGGAAAGTCTTTTGATTTAGTCACTGACCACAAGCCGCTAAAGATATTGTTCGGGACTAAGTCAAAACCATGTGCGAGGATTGAACGATGGGTACTGAGGCTACAGTCTTATTCATTCAAGGTTGTATACAAGCCAGAAAAAACAAATATAGCTGATCCCTTGTCACGATTATGTAACTATCCTGATAACCCACCAAAAGGAAAAGACCAGCATGTGTACCAAATAGTGGAAAATTATAGACCAGTTGCTATACCAATGAGTACCATTGTAGCATATTCAGAAAAAGACCAAGAGATTTACAAAGTGACAAAAGGTGTCTATCAGAACGACTGGGACGATTCGATTAAGAGTTACAAATTTTTTGAAAACGAGTTGTGTTTTCATGATAGCATTCTACTTCGTGGAAATAAAATTGTAATACCACAGCAACTCTGCAAGAGTGTATTAGATGCTGCATACGAGGGTCGTTTTGAGATCAAAGGTATGGTGGCCCCGTATCGATAAAGACGTAGAACAATTAGTAAAGGCCTGTAAAGGTTGTGCGTTAGTGGGTTTGCCAAACCCACCTGCACCAATGAAAAGACGAGAGTTGCCTGCAGCTCCATGGATAGATGTCACAATAGATCTAATGGGACCATTGCCAAGTAACGAGTATCTGTTAGTAGTGGTCGACTACTATAGTCGATACAAAGAAGTAAACAATTACAAAAACATCACAAGCTTACAGATTATTAAAATGGTAAAAGAAATGTTCAGTAGACTTGGTTATCCTATTTCTATCACCGCAGACAATGGCAAGCAGTTCGTTAGTGAAGAGTTTCGATCTTTCTGAAAAGAATGTAACATTAAGTTATTTAGTGCTGTACCATATTGGCCTCAAATGATCGGCGAAGTTGAAAGACAAAACAGAGATATTTTGAAACGTCTCCGTATCAGCCAGATCGAGAGGAAGGATTTAAAAGAATGTTTGTGGGAGTATCTTCTAATGTATAACAGCACCCCTCCTTACAGTTACCGGGATGTTACGAGTTTTTTCAACGAAAAAGTAAGGATAAAATTCCATCAATAGGTGAAATAAATTACAGACAATCATTTAGATTCAGATATCAGGGATAGAGACAAAATACAAAAAGAAAAAGGAAAATAGTATGTAGATGGGAAACGCAGAGCAACTCACTCAGATATAATACAGGGAGATAAGGTTTACGTAAAAGCAGTGCAAAAATCGAATAATCTTACAACAAATTTTAAACCGACGCCACACGTCTTAGAGAGTACACGAGACGGTGACTGCACAGTACACAATAGTGAAACGAACCAAAGGTTTAGGAGAAATGTGATACATTTGAAAAAAGTAGGAGGCGATTGGACGGCTATTCCACCCGATCAGAATGAAAAAGAACAAAATCTAGAACAGGATAAAGAAGACGAAAATATATAATAATTAATACAGACAATACAAGCTGTTTTGTGATTGTTATGAGTTATAATAAAAAAAAGAAAAAAATCTTGATAAGAAAGAGATGTAGTGTTTGCATATATATATAAGTCATTGTCTCGAGCGCACTGCGTCAGTTACACGAGAGCCTCGGGCGAGAGAGGATGTGTTTAGTTAAAGTGCGTGCCGCGCCTGTGTTACACTACAGTGATTAGAGAAGATAGCAGATATTACATTATCCCAATCTCTTGTCAACTTTCCGATAAAAATACCCTTTTCAACCAAGGGATTTCCACTTGCCCTCAAGAGGACTCATATTTAAATAAACCAAAAACACTTTACGAAACCGATTTATTAGTTTCAGATAAGAAATAAACTACTATATTTGGCTGTTCGAGACCCACTCACTTCGATCCTTGGGATTCTGAAAGCTATTTTAAAATATTACTCGCTTGCCTACACAACGATAAATTAGAATCACTTTACATTCCAAATCTAAAAACGACCCCACTTGCAAACTTAAAGGAAACGAACAGTCACACATCACGGCTTATTTAGTAGACCTTTACAAATGCAAAATCACCATATGTGAATATAAAGTTAAAACCTCAGCCCCAGAAGAGATAGCATCAATCCTGAAAACCTTCCATGATGATCAAACAACACACAAAATACGATCTGAATATTTTGGAAATGAATGACAAAAACTATGAAAAATTATATAGATAATTGCCAAATAAGTCAACGAAACAAAATTTAACGTAAAAAATATACTACATAAAATTTGGAAATAAAAAATAATTCCAATATTTAACGTAGGAGATAAAGTTATACTCAAAATCCCTAATCCAAACAATTTAAATATCCTATGGGACGAGCCTCATTTTATTGTTAGAATAGGTTTGAATGAAAACTATATTATACAAAAATCTGGTAAAAACCAAATAGTGCATGCGAATCGCTTAAGACCATTGCATGACTTCATTCAATAATCATAACATTTTATTCTAAGACTAGATCATAAATATTTAACTTTAAATCTATTTCAGGGTGGTTCGCATAATGGCACACCTTATTAAAACCCTTAATTTAATTGGAAATCTTTTATATCTGATAAATTAATTTTACTATTTGTCTTTTTTAATTATTATTTTCATCATTTTATACAAAGTTTATCTATTTTCTAAGAATTATTATATAACTAAATTTAAAATAAGGCAAGACAATTAACTAGGTTTCTTTAAATTTTCAGGTACTCCACAACTTTTGTTGATGAGGATATCCACATAAATCCTATTCCTTCTAATTCTGGACTCTATTTAGAAAACAAAGGTGAAATATTAATATCTGAAAATTCCTGGAAATTTATCGTATATCGTAATCTGGAACCTTTATTGCTACCTCGTAACTCTATCAAACGACTTATAAATAACTATCAATCTTTCATTACCACACATTCAAATTTACCTACTGTTATAACTACTACTTCATTTATAAAAATAAACATAGAATAGATTCTAGACTCGACAAACTTAATTCTTACACTGACAACAAGCGATCCAAATGCGAAATACTGGACGGCTTAGGTTCAATTTTGAAATGGCTCATTGGTGTTCCAGACGCAAAAGATGCCAAACATTATAACGAATGTATTGAACAGTTAGAGAAACAAACACAGTAAACAAAATAAACAACAATTACAAATTATTTCTTCAACGATCACGAATTTTAATGAAACATTACATAAAATCTCTTATGATGAATACGTTATTAACGAAGATATTAGAAAAAGAAATTCATACTTTACCTCAACAAACTTACATTAAATGTAACTATTCTTGAAGAAATATCTACCGTTTCAATTCAAATTCTAGAAGCTATAGTTTCTTTGGAACGAGATATCGATGATGTATTACAAGCATACTTTTCATTAAATCAAATGTAATACACCCTTTCTATAATACCCACTATGCGCCTATACAAAGAATTACTGTCTTCTAATACCGCTAGGCTTAATAAAAACTTATTTGTCCCAATAGCATTACCCAATTTACACAAAATTTTGAATCTGTCTCTATTACTTCCTAACATTCCTGACGTGTTTTTTTACCTTTCACTTAATAAGTACGTACATTTAATAGGTATGCGACTTTATTATAACATTCTTTTACTTCTTTTCGTTTTGCACGGATGTTACACCTTTTACCATATTTTATACACTGCGCCCCCTTTTCCCTAAAGAGGGTTGCTTCCGATTCGACAGAAAGGCCACAAAGCCAATGCCAGTCTCACAGGTGGTGTTGGTGGGTAGGCACTTAGGTTAGTCGCAGTAAGTTCCACATAACCACGACAGCCGGCTATCGTGGTATGCTTAGAGCATTCACCACCTCCCTTCCTCGCTTCCCGGAGGGTAGCCCTTTCGATTGCATCTGGGCGCAAGAAAAATCCCTCAAAATAATTCCATTCCCAAGTTCTCTGTATCAACTACTATATTTTAAGTCAGCTTAAAAGTATTAAATAAATTTATTTTTAAAAGAGTTTTTGTCTCTGCCACATAACAATAGCGAAGTGAGAGGCGGCGTCTAGATTATACAAACAAAATGCCTCTGTTTTTCCCTGGATAATTAATCTAGGGATAAATTTTTTACGATTTAATTTTTAACGATAAAATCTATATTTGGCATGTTTTTATATGTTTATAATCTCATGTTCTAATTTAACTATTTTTACAATGAAGAAACTTCTTATATCACTAAAACTGTCTCTTTATACCGCCGTTATTAAACATGCAGCAAAGAAATTTAACGGATTAAAAAAAACATACAAACGTAGCCATAATATTTTTATATTGTTCTTGATACATAAAAATCAGTCCAGTTTTGAAAGAGGACATAGGGGAATACGAGATGATGAATATGCAAACTTTCTTTATGTAAACAATCAGAGCTGCAGTTGTCTCTCTCGGTTACCTATCTAGGTCGCTCGGGCACACCACGACAGCAAGAGGTCGTTAAAATATATTCTCTAAATTTCACGCAACCCAGATATCCTTTAAAAAAGTACGTCTAAAACAGATCATACATCTTATATCTATGTATTTGTATAAATTTATTTTGTAGGAACGTATAATATATTATGACATATATTATGAATATGACGGTATTTTATATATATTTTGACGTTCACGTTAAATGTGTAATTTAAAAAAATACATTTTACTTTATTTGAATTTTGGTTTGGTCAATTTTATATGCGTTATCTTGATTTTCCTCAGGACAGAGACTGATTATAGCGTTTCATGAAATGCTTAAAGCAACGAAAATAAATGTTTTTAATTTAGGCGCACTATTATCATCATGATAACAGGCTATTATCGTGTCCCTTAAAATATTGCCAGATCGCTACATGAATTTATAATCTGGACTTTAAACACTACGTGTCTAACTAGCATGTGTACTCTCTACTCTCCTTGAAATAATTCCCATATGAATCCATCTAGAATGTTATATGTGATCACTGATAATACATATTTATATAAATTTTAGTATGAAATATCACTTTGACCTTTAGTTACAATGCTGCTACACATTACTAAGTATACATTCAAGTTTGGTCACTATAATGATTTATTCAAATTGATGGATCTAGTGTTTGGCACTTAGTCAGCAATTTAATTAAAATTGAAGGACTGCAAAGGAACCCTACCCGATTTTGCCATTTCTAGTAATCACGCCTCCTCACGATCACTTACACATCTCTGAAAAGTTGTCGTATGGTCGTCATAATGAAATCAATCTCATTTTATGTCCAACCGTTGGGACTTGACCAGGTCCACTTTCTGTGAGGTCGCTTCTGGATGAAAGTTTGTCATAAAAAGTCCCTCTTTCTCCATGAAGTCGACCAGTTGTTGGTTCCTTGGGTTCCGTTGCCCTATTCCAAATTTACCTACTTTTAGCTTACCGTTCTCTCTTGTGCCTAGTTTTGCGTTGGAGTATACTATTAATACTGTGTAGTGAGTTTTGGAGGAAAGCATGGCTCTAGAGATATCCTCATACTACTTCCTCCACCTCCTCATTGGGATATGCTGAGGTTGGTACGTAAACCTGTATGACCTTCAACTTATACTGTTTAGTAATTCTATGTATAAGGTACGCAACCCTCGTCGACACACTCCCAATTTTTACAACGTTGTTAACGAGATACTTGTGGACGATAAATCCAACAACTCCTTGGGACAGATAGTCACCCTCCCGGTGATAGAACAAGATTCGACGATTACCGTATCCTCCCCATCTCTTTGGATTTCGCGAAATCCTATAATATGCCAGCGTATTCTACAGCGTTCACAACGTTGTCTATCTCTTCTTCCATCTCCAGGATTTTCTCTTCAGGGT